AGAGAAATACTTCATGGAACAGGTAGGCTTAGAATAAGACTGTTTGAAAACAATTCAACCAACATGTAACGAGAGCTAACTGTATGCAAGACTCTGTGAACTAAGGAAGAAAATGAGATCTAATGTTCATAAATTGATAGGCTCCTCCAGTTAGCCAGAATGTGAAGGAACTACATACTACTATGACTAAAGAAATAAAAATTAAGTTTACATAAACAATTTCTTAATCATATCCTTTATAACTAGGCAGCTTCTTCCATCCAATTTATTTTCTCAGTCATAAGAATAATTTATAATAACACAGACCAAACTATATAACCTACAAATAACCATTGTTCATAAGCCTGTTTCAAAAGGGTCACAATTCCTCAATGTCATAATCTCTTATTTTGGGGATCAAAAAAATATTTTTAAGTTAGCACTCAACACGATCCCATTAAACCCATTATTCATCTTCAGAAGTTCTGCTCTTCTTAGTGTCAGTTACATAAAATATAGATTTGTATGGAAGGGATGGAAATTAATAAAATGATCAAGGCATGCTAGACAGCCAAGAGATCTGGGAATAAGGTACTACAGTATGGTATTAGCTGTGGCTGTTGTCCCCTCCAGTAGAAGCATCCACATGAACAATCCTAGGTTCTGTGTCTGGCTGGAACTTGAAGCCAAGAAGCAGTGTGTCCAAGAATTTCTAGGTTAATTGGAGCCCCTTTTGACAGCTTGAATCTGGGAAAATGGACCAAATAGTGGAGGCCAAAGGATCCACTTCTCTAGACAAAGATGGTTGAAGACAGGCACCAATTGTGTTATTTCCAAATTTATGTTACTATAGGGCACATTGGCATAAAGTTATATCGTATCAGCCTCATCAAATTGTTGAAGCATTGAGTTAAACCAGCTGTTAAATCAGCGCCTGACACAAAGTAAGTGCTCAATAATAGTTCCAATTGTTCACTGGCCACAGAACTATTAGAATGGATACAGCAATGCAAAACCATCAAGTAATTCAGGAATCACATTTTGACCAATACAACTTGATTTGGTTTTCAGCTTCTTATAAGACAAAAGCTACTTTTCATTTACTTTAACCTTGAGATCCACTGGTGCTAAATAAAAGAGGCATTGACAGCAAGCTGTAAGCATGCAAAGATACATACTAACAATAAACTCACTGGTTGGATTAGGAGGAAAAAAACGATAAGGTTAACAACTGTGATCCCCATTCTTATGGAAATTCATAAATAAGAAGAGGCATAGAAGAAGATAACTTAAAAGTGTTTGAAGTAAAAGTTCAAAAGCTACCAGTAGAAACAAAGCAACTAGTTGATACTCCTGCTTTATATACTGTACTTTGGTATACCTAAAAAGTTGTTTAAATCATATTTATACATTGAAATGTATTTTACCAATGAATTTCCATGTAATCTCAGTGGATGCTTTTTCAGTAAAAAAAAAAAGTGGCTACCACATAAATTATAAAATTACATTCAAGAGTATGACCATTAACTCCAGGATGTAATTTTTTCTAACATATAATCCAGAGTCATTATGAATATTTTTGCTTTAAGAAAAAAAAATTTTAACTTGAAACACTTTCAAAGTTACAGAAAAGTTGCAAGAATAGTTCAAAGAATTTCTGTACAAGATGTAAAAAGTTTTATACAACAGACACCATAAAAAATTCAAAGACAAGAACTAACCCAAAGAAGACATTTATTTCATACATCTACACACACACACACACACACACACACGCGAGAAAAATGATTAAAACGTAGCATACTGTTGTGGCAGACAGATTTTAAGGTAATCCCTATGAACATCACCATCTCCTGGTGTTCAGGTCCTTGAGTGTATACAATCCCCTCCCCTTGAGTATGGGCAAGACCTGTGACTTGCTTCTAACCAGTAATATGGCAAATGTGATAGGATGTCACTCTTGTACTTATGTTTTATGTATATGTAAGATTCTGTCTTGCTAGCAGATATACTAGCCAGACTCTGTCTCACTGACTTGGAAGAACCAAGCTATCACGTTTTAGTATACAGCCACGTTGGAGAAGCCACATGATAAGAAATTGCCAAGTAGACTCTAGGAGCTGAGGGTGGCTTCCAACCAGAAACTGAAGCCCTCAGTTTTGCAGATGCAAGCAAATTAGTTCTGCCAACAGCCTGAGGGAACTGGGAATTAGATACTTCATGGGTGGCACCTCTAATTCTGCAGCCCAGCTGACACCTGGATTGCAGCCTTCCCAACCGAGCAGAATACCTAGATAAGATGTGCCCAGACTTCTGATCTAAAGACACTATGCAATGTGTGTTTAAGTAATTACCACTTGTGTTCATTTGTTACACAGCATAGAAAACTAATATAACTGTTTATTTAAAAATCATACAAATTATCACAAAAAAGATAATCAATCCATTAGAAACATGGGGGAAAGAAGTGAACAAGCAATTTTGAAAAGAAATATAATGATCAATAAATATAAAGAAAGATGCTCAACATCACAAGTACTTAAGGAAATGTAAATTCTAAGAATCTGGTATTATTAAGTGTTTGGTCAA